CTAATGAGAGGCACCCCTGGTTCATAGGAAAGAATGCTAAACAAAGCTACCCGAGGAAGAGACCAGGGCTCAGATCCTGCCTCCGACCGCTATTAGATGTGTGTCCATGGATAAACCTTTAACTCTCAGAGCTTCAGTTCCCCTATCATAAAATAGAGATAACAATCTATTATAACTGTGTCGAATGACTTTGTGAACCCCAGTGTGCTGTGTGAAGAACTGGGCCTCCCTCAGTTAAAAGAATTATTTTTAGTTCTATAATAATCTTATGATGTAGAATAGAATGGTTTGGCCTCTTCACCTTGCCCCTCCAGGGCTCAAATCATAATTTCTTTGGTTAGTGACCATTTAGGATGTATATGAACATGTTAGTTAAACAAACCTGGGGGCAGCTAGGTGGCGAAGTAGATGGAGCACCAGCCCTGAAGTCAGGAGGACCTGAGTTCAAATCCCTCCTCAGACCAAACACTTGACACTTACTAGCTGAGTGACCCTGGGCAAGTCACTTAACCCCAATCGCCTTAAAAAAAAAAAGAGTGCTTTAACAAACTGAAGACCAGGAGAAGCCAGCAGCCATAAACTAAGCATTTTTTAAACTCCTGCTTAAAATGTGTGTTCTATCTTCCCCGGCACCTCACTCCGCTCTCTTTTAGAAGAATGTTGGGGAGACCAACAACAAAGGGGACAGTCAGCTCTTTGAACTTTTCAGAGGAAAGATGTTCCCCAAACACATGTTCATTATTTGGGCCTCATAGCAGAGAGAATATAAGTGGTGGATTGGGCCAAGAATGAGCCCTGGATTTTGTATTTTCTCTTTGACTTTGGACAGGTCATATCCCCACCACCCCTGGTCCCTAGGGAGAATAAGGACCAGCTGACCAGTCACCAGCATCGTAAAGTTTAGTTCAAGCCTTGTTCATTTGGCCGTGAGAGATCCTAGGACAGGAAGGCATTTTGTCACTAGAAAGTGTTTGGAGTAATTTCCCAACAATGATGGGAGTAGAATAGAGCTTTTAAGCTCTAAGGAGCTTGGTTCTATATTAGGGCCACAGAGAGAAAGAAACTTGGGAAGCCCCTCCTTCATGATGTTGTGTGTGTGTAGGGTAATGTCACTAAGGCCTCCTACCTAACGAAGCTCTGCTGACCTGGAGGCATTGGGTGAGGGGTGGCAGAGATGCAGATTTAACTTGATAAATTAGAGATGTCCCGAAGAGGAAGGGGCTGCTGTGGGCCTCAGTGGTCTCAGATGTGCCTTCCAGCTCTGAGATTTGGTGATGAGACCTCAGATCATTTGGTCCAGGCCTCCATCTGAAAAGGAATCATCTCCGTAGCAACAGATGTCTGACTGGTCTCTATCTTCAAGATAAGGATGAAGGAAGAAAATTCAGCTAAGGGCAGTGCTTTCAACCAGTTTTTAAAAATGTGAAATGTCTGTTTTTATTGTGTGCTAAGACCTTTTTTAAATTTGTAATTTTCTGTGATCTGCATTTGTTCCTTCAGAGTTACCTTCATGTGGTGACTGCTGGGGGGGGGTAAAGATTAAGAGAAGTCATGAGGTCCTTTTGACTGGAGGGTGTTCTTTGTTTTGGTTTTTTATTCAGTTTTATTTTCAGTTTTGAATTCTCTCCTTCCCTCCACCCCTTCCCCCATGCATTGAGAACCCAAGAAATATAATACCCATTACACATGTGAAGTCATGCAAAACATATTTCTGCATTGGCCATGTCAAAAGAAAGAGAGAGAGAAAGAGAGAGACAACAGAGAGAGAGAGAAAGAGAGACAACAGAGAGACAGAGACAACAGAGAGAGAAAGAAAGAAAGGAAAGAAAGATAGAAAAAGGGAAAGAATGAAGGAAGTAGGGAGGAAGGAACGGAGAAGAATATGCTTCAATCTGTGTTCTATCAGTTCTCTCTCTCTCTCTCTCTGGAGGTAGATAGCATTTTTCATAGTGAGTCCTTTGGAATTGTGGTGGATCATTGTACTGATCAGAGTTACAATGTTACTGTTGCTGTGTAGATTGTTCTCCTGGTTCTGCTCACTTCACTTTGCATCAGTTCATACAGGTCTTCCCAGGTTTTTCTGAAACTATCTCCATCATTTATTAAGGCACAGTAGCATTCCATCATTTCATATGCTATAACTTCTTCAGCCATTCCCCAATGGATGGGCATCCTCTCAGTCTCCAATTCTTTGCCACCACAAAAAGAGCTATTATAAATATTTTTGTACATGTGGGTCCTTTTCCCATTTATATGATCTCTTTGGGATATAGACCTAGAAGTGGTATTGCTGGGTCAAAGGGTATGCACATTTTTCTAGTTTTTTGGGGTACAGTTCCAAATTGCTCCCCAGAATGGTTGGATTAATTCACAGCTCCACCAACAGTGCATTCATGTAAATCCCACATCACCTCCAGCATTTGTCATTTTCCTTTTTTGTCAATTTTGTCAATCTGATGGGAGTAAGGTGGTACCTGAGAGTTGTTGTAATTTACATTTCTGTAATTACTAATGATTTAGAGCATTTTGTCATATGGTTATAGATGGCTTGGATTTCTTCATCTGAAAACAGCCTGTTCGTATCCTTTGACCATTTATCAACTAGAGAATGGCTCTTATTCTCACAAATTTAACTTCATTCTCTATATATCTTAGAAATGAGACCTTTTTTTTAGAGAAGCTTGCTATAAGTACTTTTCCCAACTTTCTGCTTCTTTTCTGTTTAGTCACAGTCGTTTTGTTTGTGCAAACCCTGTGTAATTTCATATAGTCAGGATTATTCATTTTGCTTCTTTATCCCTTGTTTGTTAATGAGCTCTTCCCCTATCCATAGACCTGACAGGTAATTTCTTCCATGCTCTGCTAATCTGCTCATGATATCGTCCTTTACGTCTCAATCGGGTCCCCATTTTGAGTTTTTTTTTGGTATATGGTGTGAGTTGCTGGTCTATGCCTAGTTTCTGCCAGATTGCTCTGCAGTTTTCCCAGCAGTTCTTGCCAAATAGTGGGTTTTTGCCCCAGTAGCTGGGATTGGAGGGTGCTTTTTGGTACAGTTGTCGTGAATTTGCCTGGTCCTCTGCTAAGTACTAGACGAAGAACTCCGTGGACACAACATGGTTCCATCTCGGCTCTTAGAATCTACGACAGAAGTTCTCACAAGACTCCTTCAAGGGGTGCGCAAGGTCAAAACTATTTTCATAATAATACTAAGATGTTTTCATTTCTTGTATGGTAAACATCAGTTGATGTAGCCCAGATAAACAAAGGCTCTTTGGGGGTGGGTCCTCAGTAATTTTTAAGAGGGTAAAGGGGCCCTGAGACCAAAGAGTTTGAGACCTTCTGGTCTAAGATACGAAGCTGAAAAAGAACCACGTGTAAAGCACAGAGAGTGAAATGTGGACTGACTTTATAGGAAGGTCTCATGTGTGCTTGACCCATGCTGTCTGCAGGCCGGAGCAGGAAGGGCAGAGCTCAGGAGACACCGTCATTGCCTCTGACACTCTTTCTGTTAGAGAATTTGGTCAGTTGGGAAACAAGGCTCGTCCTGCAAGGGGGACACTCACAGCCGAGAGCCAGAGACCTAACGGGAAAGGCATGTCAGGACCCCAGGTGCTGGGGCTGCCGTAGCTGCCTGTTGGCCTGCGTCGGAATAGGACGGGTGCCATCTGCTGGACAAAACGATGCTGTGCTGGACAGTGGAGGAAGGAGCCTGAGCAGCCCCTGACGGCCCCGCCCCGGGCCCGCAGCGGCTCTGGAGCTGGGCCTGCAGAGAGCTGTGTTGGCTTTGCGCCGTCAACAAACCGGTTTGTTCTTGGGGGGTGAAGCTTGCACGCCAAGACAAAAGCCGTGGTTTTGACAAGCGCCAAGGTTGCTGCGTGGCCATCCCAGCAGCCCCAGCCAGGCCACGTTTCACCGAGTGCGCTTGACGCACAGCCGAGACGCAGCCCGCTGGCCCGCTCAGCGCGCAATGTGCCTGTAACTGCTGACCCGGCTCCTCGCCCCCGACGTTGGCACGGATGGGCCAGAACGCCAGCGGCGTGTCCCTTATCCTGCGGATGTTGCAGACGCCCGAGTGAGCCGCTCTGGAAGCCGTCACAGCCATCCCTATTCTTGCCTGGCCCTCCGGTAGAGCGCACGGCCTGACGCCACAATGGTCAGATACCTAAAGCAACATCTTCATCGTCCCTCGATCAGAATCTAAATGCAGAGTGGCTTAGCTGGCCCCCCACTCTGGAAGGCAGTAACATTGCTCCTCCTGGAGGTCAAATGAAGGAGCATTCTAGAGGGAATTGGTTGGGCTTTCTTTTAGGCATTCTGGGCTTTCATTAGTATCAGAGGAGATGCTCCCAGTGTGGAAAGGCCCTCTGCTACTGCAGATCACCACCTCAGCTGCAGCTTGCAGTTCCAGAATCGTCTGACGCTGAGTAATTTGCCCGCAGTTACACAACTGATATGTATCAGAAGCCGACTTGAACCCAGGCTGCCTGACTCCACGGCCAGACCTTCCATCCACTGGCTTCACTGCCTCTTCCCTGGGTGGTTAGTGTTGGGACGGGTGAATGGCTCCCTTCTCTGAGGTGACCACGACTTACTCCCTATGTACCCGTATACATGCTGCCCAGCTACAGTGTGCTATGCGGTAGAATGCATTTTAACACTTGAAATATAATCGGTGTCGTGATGAAAGAGAGGGATGGAGACCACTTTTTATAGATCACACAGCTGAACAATGATAAGGAAGGCTTGCCTCTCAACCTCTGGATATCAGTGATGACAGAACAAACGTCAGTATAATCATTGCTGACATTTATATAAGCACCCACTATGCGCCAGGCATCGTGCCAGGCATGCAATTATTCTCTCATTTGATCCTCACAACAAAACTGGGAGGGAGGTGCTGTTACCATCCCCATTTTACGGATGAAGAAAGTGAAGCAGGCGGAGGTTAAATGACTTGCCCAGGGTCTATCTGAGGCTAAATTTCAGCTCAGGTCTTCCTGACTCCAGGCCTAGTGTTCTGTACACTACGGTGCCCCCAGCTGCTTATCATACCTGACTTGCAAGGTCACACTCTCCTTATTTGTGTTTCTCTCCATCTAGATTGGGTCTAGTTAAACAGCTTCAAGGGTGCATGTTCACTGCTATATTTCCCAAGAATGACTACAATGGGACACGGGCCCTTTCTGGACAGTCAGAATGGAAACAAATGCATCGTATCTATTTTCAGTCTAAATTAGATTTCATTTCATGTCCTGGCACCTCCTTGACTGTCGTCAGCAAATTATAGAAGTTAGGTTTTGTTTTCAAGTACAGGCATGCCTGATTTAATGTAATCAATATGCTCTTGAAATGTTATGTGGTTTTATTAGCGTGAATTCAGTGTTAAAATTACTGCCAGGAATGCCAGTCATAGGTTCACAGATTGAGAGCTACAAGGGACCTAAAGGCCCTCTTGTCCAGCCCCACTATTTTAACCAGGGGAAATTCATGGAATATCACGATTTCTGAAGCATCAAAATCTCAGGCTGCCCGAGAGGCAATGGAGGGACCACGATGGGCAGAAATGGTCTACGGCTCTACCTACAAGAAGTGGCCAGAAAAAGAGGAGGGCCAGTCAGGACAGTGGGCCGGACAACAGGTGGGCAGCCCCATTCTGCCCGGTGAAATGCCAAGACCTAACAGAAAGCCTCCAGCACATTGGCTACGTTATCCGTGGAGAATTTGGGGGAGATTGAAGACAAGAATCTGATTGGATGAGAAGGCACAAGCTGTTAGCATTTTGTGCCCTTGGAGGAACTGGGCCGGTGGATGGCCTACCTGGCCTCCAGTGGCTTCCCCCTTAAAATCGGCCCCAGGCCCAAAGCAAGTTGTCCTTGTTGCTCAGGAACTGTTGGCTGCTTGGAGAGCTGCTGACACAGCATCCCGACCCTCATTTTACTGAGGCCTTGGCTTTTACGGTAAACGGTTTTTTAACCAGTCCCTTTCAGAAGCGCTCTATTTTTAGCTAAATAAAGGAGGTTCACTTAGTGTGTGAACTTGAACATCCATTGTATCCATTCTTACAATCGGCCTCTTGGCAACAATTTGTTTTTGTGGGCTCTGGGCCTGAGGAGCTGAGCTGAAGTTAGACTTTAGACACAGGTCCATCTGCAGTATGTTCTGATGTCTGTTGTGAGTGATTATGAGAAAGCAGGGCTAGGAAAATGGTCATTCAATTGTCCTGGAAAACAAGGTTCTGTCCTCATTTTTTTTTCCTTTTAAGCCAATAAAGGCCTCGGTAAATTCATTAAGCTTAAATCTAGCTGCCCATTCCAGAGAGCTCTGAGATTTCAGGATTTGTTAATAGATAGCGTCCATAAAAGCTCTATTAACAAAAGGCCCGAGTCCTTGGGTAAGGGTCTGTTATCTCACTCGGTCCTCTGTCAATCAATAAGGGAGCACTTAGGAAGTGGGATGATGAAATAAAGCCCATATCTGCCTGATCCTCGGTCTTCAGACCAGAAAGCTCAGCGGCTGCCAAAGAAGCCCAGGCCCCAGATGTCAGTGAGCCGCTCTTACCAATTAGCCTCTCAGCTCAGCATGACCTTCCCTCCAAGATGGCAGCATCACACCTGTACAGTCAGTACCTGGGATGTTGGTGGCACATGCTTCCGTCATTCTCCCATCAGCGGCACGTTCTGCCAGTGGACTGGTGGGGAGAGAAGGCTTGGACTGGCTGCTGGCTAAAGCTGTTCACCCAAGAGTGGTCAAGACATTACCTTCCTGGGGTGGGAACAGAATATGCCCTCTGGTTCTCTGAGTCCACTCCCTTAAGCTCCAATGTTGCCGTTGCCGTGACAACAAGTATCCAACAATCAGAAAGCCTCACGCCCTGTTTGGGGGGGCTCTGACATCTGTTCCATAGCAACAGGCACAGAAGTGATGGCCTTGAGTCGGTCTGTTAAATGCCCCCAGGCCAGAGCTGGAGCTGGAGCTGCTTCGGGCATGTGTCCTTCAGGCCTCACTGGCAGACCCCTGGGGGCTCCCGCAGCCTCCGGCAGGGCTTTAGCACCAGAAGAGCCATCAGATACAGGGTGATTCCTCTCTAGTTTCCTTTCAGAGGAGGAGCAGCCTTGTTAAAGGGTCGAAATCGTTACCTAAGGCTAGTTTGCAGGAAAAGCGATCGATCGTCATTTACAGTTACATTGAGACCATTTACACCGGGTCCCTTTTAGAGCCATTTACCTCATTCTTCTAGCACTTCTCTAGGAGGTAAGTTGCGTGTCCCCATTTTACCAAAAGACACAGTTCTAGAACTTTACTTTTTCGGCTCTTGGAAAGAGGGATTCAGGCCTGAGCTCCCTGGTTCCTTGCACTGGCTGCTTCTCGCTGTCCTAACTGTGCAGAGTCCATGTTTCCAGGTAATTCTCCTTTCAACTTCGAGGCCCTCCCCCCATTACTTTCCCCCTGCCTCGGGTCTAGCCAGGGGTCCTCAAGGAGCTTGCTGTTTTCATTGGCTTGCTCTGGGCTCCTCTGACCATGGTGGGCGTCTTTCAGGTCACCTGGATGTCAGCATGGCAGCCTCAAACCTGGAGAACCAGCTGCACAGTGCCCAGAAGAACCTGTTGTTCCTTCAGCGGGAACACGCCAACACCCTGAAGGGCCTGCACGCTGAGATAAGACGCCTGCAGCAACACTGCACAGGTAGCCTGGGCCAGGCATCCTGGAGGCTGGGGAGGGTCTGTGCCCTGCAGGGGGCCGTCTGAAGCCATGCTGGCAAATGGGGCTAGGATGCTGGAGGCGCCAGGGGCTGGAGAGACAGGGAAAAGGATGTGCCCACGGTCCCACCACCAAGTCCCACTGCCGTCTCAGATGGCACCTGATGGACCGGAAGCTGTGCTTGACTTAAACGGCTCCAACTCAGTCAGTCACATGTTAGGGAAAAAGCATTCAAGTGCTTCTTTGGGGCCACCAGAGAAGAGGGAGCGAGGCCTTGCTAGTCCATTTCCCTGCCCCCTATTATGGGCTGCCATCAAGGTGTGGGTTAAGACCCCATCATAGCTGTGGCCCACTCTGTTACCCACCTTGTTTCAATCCCATAATTAAATTAGGAACGGGGCAAGGTGTAGAAATCAGTTCTTTGGGCAGCCAGTGCATTTAAAGAGATGAGAAATGACTTTGGTGTTGTGTTCTGTTTGGGGTGGTGGAGAGCTTTCTTTCCAAAACTCCAGAATTTTAAGCCCCCTCCCACCTGGATCAGCTATTTTGTTGCTGTTGTTTGGGTTGTATCTGTATATCCCATTTGTTTTTTTTTTTGTTTGTTTGTTTGTTTATTTTGACAAAGATACTAGAGCGATTTGCCATTTCCTTCTCCAGCTCATTTTACAGATGAGGAAACTGAGGCCAACAGAGTTAAGTGACTTGTCCAGGGTCACGCAGCCAGTAAGTTTCTGAGGTCAGATTTGAACTCAGGTCTTCCTGACTCCAGGCCTAGCACTGTATCCACTGGACCACCTAGCTGCCTCAGATCATCTATAAATGATAAGAGTTATTCCTCATCTGTTACTCTACCAGAGACAGGGACTTTCTGGTAAGAGCTGACTCACGAGAATATTTCCTGAGTCATCACGCCTGGAATAGATAGTTGCAGCTTCCGATGACAATCCAGCATTAACATGCAGCATTTTTATTTTTTTTAGATTTAACATATGAGCTGACACTGAAAAGTTCGGAGCAGGCAGGTAAGAGCCACGAATGCTGGTGGTTTTCTTAGTGTAACAGCGACACCTGTTGGTCTAACTTCCTTCTTTCCCAGTTTATATTCGGACTTCACTCATAAGGCCACACCTCCCTGCCTCCCTTCCAGAGAGTCATAGGATTTTTAAAGAGATCAACTACTCCAGCCCCTCTCGTTTTACAGAGGAGGAAAATGAGGCACCAAGGAGTGCCACACAGGAAGGAAGGAGCAGAGCTGGGCTCTGAATACAATGTGCCCACTGCTTTGTTCTCCCTTACCGTACTCTGCCTCTCACTGCTTAGGTCTCCAGTGCCCTCATCCCATGAGGGCTCAGTGACACCACCAGGAGATGCACAGCTATTTGTTAGCAAGTACCCCATGTGGGACCCAGCCACCTCAGCTGCCTACACCTGTGCCACAGTCAGGCTTTCCTAAAGTCCCTGTTCATCCATCTCTGGGTGAGTCCTCTAGCTCTTGAGGATTTAATGGTGCTCATCCCCATCTTTGGCCAAGCCTGGTGCAGGCACCCTGGAGGTCCCACCTGGGCCACCCCATTACCGAACGGATCAGGGCCCTCCAGGAGCCGGATCTAATTGTTCCCAACAGTCCATCCTCCGAGGTTTGGTGCTTTAATGCAAAAAGAAAAAGAAAAAAACCCACCACAGAATATGGGTCCTGTTCGAGATCAGTTTTTTTTCAGCTTCTCAGAGTGACATCATTTATGGGCCTATCTGATTTCTGCTAAAACACAGCTCATTTCCATTCATTTTCAGTGCATCACCAAGTACTCGTTTTTCCACTTAGAGTAATCACATTACAGCCTCACAAGCCTTTTGTCCTCCAGGCATGGTTTTAAAAAAAGACAGGAATTAGTCTTGAGAGAGGTCTAATGACAGAAGTATCACCAGGGGAGGCTCTTTAAGTCCCGTTCCCCCATTGTCACACTGCGCCCCACACTGCAGCTGTGTGCCACGAACCTCAAAGACCAGAGATTCTGCTCTGAGAAACTGAGTCCTCTGTGCTCAGGCTTTAGAAATGAGCAAGGAGAAGCCACCCCTTTGGAGTGACTTTTCTTACTGCCTCTGGAGAGCCTCAAATCACATGGCTAGCACCCTCTTCCTGGGATTGGTTCCTCGGGACAAAGGGGAGGAGAGAGGAGGCAGGTTTCTGTGGCCTTCTAATGATTCTTTGAAGAATGCGATGAAGAAAACTTCTCATGGGCTCCAACACCAATAGGAACAGCCAGTTTAGGTTAGAGAGGGCCTAGCGGGGCATAAGGGGACTACTTTGTTCAAGGAGCTTCATCCCTAGTTTGTTTTCTGTCTGAATTTTCTGAACCACTTTTAGAGGGTTGGCCACTAGGTGGAACAGGTGTCAGTTGGTGCCAATGAACAGCCGCAGAGACCAACTCTCCAGAGCATGCATCACCCCTGCCCCTTCCATTGGCAGCACCCACAAACTCTTAAAGATAGCAGACAGCAAGTGTAGCCAAGGCTGGACTGGAGCAGCAAAGCAAGCGTCATTTCTAAGTGTGGCGGTGGCTCCAGAGATGTGCGTAGGCATCCTCGAGTGCCCTCAAAGGCGCCTGCCTGGCAGAAGTCTGGACTTCCTTCTCGCTGTGCCACAGCAAGGGAGTCAGGCCCAGGGAAAGCCAGGGCACAGCGCGTGGGTCAGTCATCCTGTTACACACTGTCCGCTTTGTGGCATTTCCCCTAGAGCGGAGGGATGAAACTGTGCCAGAAGCAGATTCCTTATTGTTTGGCTGATGCCTGAATTAGCCGGATTTGGAAACTTCAATTACAGGTATAGGTAGGGCCTAGAAGCTGAGATGTGGCATCATAAATATGTTAAGTTTCTACTTCATATACAAAATTAGAATTATATAAGGGTTGTTTCCCAACAGGCCCTTGTGGAAAGAAGAATGAGGACAGAAATCTGACTAGTGGAGTTTCAGGGCCACCAAAACTACAGAGAATTCAGAGATCCTGGGGTGATTTGAGGCAGTTGGGAAATCTGAGCTCAAACTGAGGTCTGGGCTCAAGGAGGGAGGAGGTCCATAGCAGTTCTCTTTGTCATGGCAGATTCAGTTATTTCATGTAGGAAGGCAACCATGTGGTAGCTCTGATATCGATGGAAATCCGAGTGTTTATAGGTAGAAGGGAAGGTTCCATTGTGGAGGGAGAGATGGAGGGAATGAGTGAAGGCCCAGGAGGAGGCTGGGGGAATGACCGAAGGGAAGTGAGCCTGGCAGATGAATGTGTCTAGGGGGTGGGGAGGGGAGGGCCTAGCTCTCCTGAAGTAGGAGAAGGCTAGCAAGGAAACAGATTGATGGAATAAGGTGTAGGGGGCAGAAGAGGGAGCTCATGAGCTCAGGTCCCACTTACTGTGGTTCTCCAAATCACCTGGGCAGTGCTGGACTTTGGGTTTGGGGATTCTGTAGACTTTTGGAGGCTTTTTTTTTTTTTTAGTGCTTATTATGAAAAACAAAGACTTTAGCTTTCAAAAGATTGCCTTATAGGCAATCAAATAATGATTTAATTGAATTGTCTTAAGAAAACTAAAATAGATGCATTTGGTAGTAGTTAAATTCCAAGGTAATTGGTGTGAGCAGATGCAACTCAGTATATCTACATAAATAAGGGTCTATTTCTGATGATTATGAATGCCTCCAATTACATAGAACAATAATAATAGCTAATATTAGTATAGTGCCCACTAAGTACCAGGCACTGTGCTAAGTGCCTTTAGGATTATTATCTCATTCACTCCTCACAACCACCCTGGGAGGTAGGTGCTATTATGATCCCCATTTTACAGATACAGAAACTGAGGCAAACTGGCGAAATGACTTGACTAGGGTCACATAGCCAGTAAGTGTCTGGGGCCACATTTGAACTCAGATCTTCCTGACTCCAGGCCCATCGAACAACAAATGTTGACCTGGAAGAGGCCTTAGAGAGCATCTCATCCACAATCCACCCTCCAGTCCTATCATTTTAAAGATGAGGGAGCTCGAAGATTAAAGACTGAAGAGAGATTAAATTATGAGCCAGGTGGTAGAGCTGGGAATAGAAGTCATGTTTCCTGATTCCCGTAGAGTGAGGTTTTCCACCTCATGGCACCATCTCCCTTTCCTTTGCTATTATAGAGCACTTACTTAATGCTTACTGCCCCCAAAGAGGTGGATCTGTACTGCTCTCCTGTTTTACAGATAAGGAGATTAAGGTAAAAAATGAATTAATGATTGGCAGAGGGACAGTCAGTAACGGGGAGGAGATGGTTCTGGCGGGTAAGGGGGGAGAGGGCGAGGGAGGGAAAAACAGACTGAGAGGAGAGGGAAAAAGAAAGAGACAAAGAGGAGGGAGAGAGGCAAAGGGACAGAGAGGAGAGGGAGAGACAGAGAAAGAGGAAAGGAAGAGACAGGGTGAAAGAGAGGAGAGGGAGAGACAGAGGGGTAGAAAGAGGGAGGGAGAGACGGGCAGAGAGAGAGGAGAGGAAGAGAG